CTGAACAGCAGGCCTCCGTCTAGGTTGGCCATTCGCTCAGCAGGTTGCTGTGGAGCGCCCGCTGTGTGCCAGCCACTGGCCTGGGGACTGGGGACGGGCAGTGAACACAGCGTCCTGCCCCCTGGTGCTTTCCTGTAGCGGGGGGAGGCCACCAGACAGATGCATGGAGGACGGTGACAAGAGCATGAGGGGAAAGGGGCAAAGAAGGCGCTCCACAGTGACGGCAGGGAGCAGTGGTACGGCCCGCAGTCAGGACTGGGCTTGGGCAGACGGTGACATCTGAGAGGGGGCCTGAGAGCACCGAGAAGCCTGAGAACTTCCCATGTCCTGTCACGCCCATGCCCGCCTGCCTCCCTCTGCCCACCACAGCTGAGCTCCTGACAGGGTGGTCTCTGCTTGCTGGCTCCATTCCCTCACCTCCCACCCACCCCTCAGCCTCCCTGGACATGCTCCCCCCAGTCCCTCCCTCAGATGGCCCAACGGGCTCTTTTGTCACTTCCCACCTTACCTGATCTCAGAAACGTCTGACCCTGTGGACCGGCTCTCCTTTTCCAGCAGGTGTTTCTGAGATGTTGCAAGCTCTGGGTTCTGCTCCCGTCTCTCTGACCGCCCTCATCTGTCTCCATTGCAGGCCCCACCTTCACACCTCAGGCTCCCCACAGCTGACCCCAAACCTTCCTCCCCGCTCCCTGTCCACTCAGACTCTCCTGGGCGGTGTCATCCACTCACACACCCCTTCCTGCCTCTCTACCCGGGAAAAACCCCCCCCAGCCAGTCCTCTGGGCTCCAGCCCACTCACCCAGGGACCTTCAGAGTAGCTCCACGTGGATATTGTAAAGGCATGTCGGAGTCACCATGTCCAAAGCCTTCCATGGTGTCCTTACCCCACCTGTCCTAGGTCCCTGGACTCAGACCCTTCCCCCTCGCTCCTGCCCTGGGCCCTGGGCATGGCCAGGTCATTACCAGGTTCTGTGACTTTTACCTCCCCAGTTCGGTTTCTCTCCCACCTCCCGCTGTCCCCAACCCCAGGCCTCCATCGGCCTTGTGCCTGGCCGACTGCAGTGGTGCTAACTGATCTCCCTAGACTCACACTTGCTCCCTCCCCATCCGTTCCCACCTACACCCAGAGCAGCGGATGGGGACACGTGGGGACACACTTTTCCCCCACATGCGCCTTTAATTTCTTCTTGCCTCGCCTTGCCTGATAGTTTGGCCTTCTGCCCTCCTGTCTGGCCTCTCTCCTCCCCACTCCCAGAGCAGCAGCCATTCTGTTGTCTTTGGGATCCTCAGCGGCACCACCTCCTTCCCCGTGGGCCCTTCCCGTGCTCTTGCCTAGATTTCAGCTCAGGCTCCGCTTGCCCAGGGAGCCCTGGCCACCCACCTGGCCCGGATCTTTGGCCAGAGTTCGTGGGAGATGCACCCTTTCCTTCCACGTTGTTAACCCTGTCTGTGGTGGTCCCTCACCTTCACGGCCTTCTGCTGTGTCTGCTTCCCCATGAGGGCAGGCGCAGCGCTGGGGGAGCCACCGCCGTGTCCGCCATCCAGTCCAGCCAGCCACGGGGTCGGCATTGGTCCGTACTCGTTGGATGTAACGAGTGAATAGAACGTATCCGTGCCATTCTGATCCCTCCAGAAGATTCCTTCGCTTGCCAGGGTCTGCCCTACTGGGGGGGAGCCTCAGACAGGTTTCTCAACACCATGGAGCTTCTTGGTAGAAGGAGGACAGTGGCACCTACCTTCCAAGGTGGCTCTCAGCTTTATTTTTAGAAACGTCACTTTGGGTTTTTAAAAAACTCTTTTCACAATGACAAAAATCAGTGTATTTTAAAAAGGCTAAGAAGATAAGTCATTATGGTGGCCGTGGCGAGGTCAAACTGCAGGAAGTCGACATTAAATTAGATGAGGAAGGCGAGCCCAGAGAGGTGGCATCTACAGGGATCTCCCCAGTGGAGGGCCTCGGCCAGGGCTGAGTGTTGTGGACGGAGCAAACACGTCTGTCTATAGTGCCCCGAGCAGGTTGCAGCAGGCACCCTTACCCACTAGGGACAGGGTGAGGAGGATGGGGACCAGGAGAGAGCCACTGATCATGTCATTTGGTCTCATTATCTGAGCTGGCTCCTGGGGACGAGTGGCCATTTTCTGCCAGGACAGGGAGAACAGGAGAGGTAGTGTCTGCATCCCATGATGCTGTTCAGCTGCTGAGTTTTTGGAATGGTTTGTGTCTTCAGAGCTACAGCATGCATGCAGGGTGTGCGTGTGTAGGTGTGTGCACATGTGAACATGCATGCACTCACAGGAGGGAAAGGGAGAGACAGGCCCCACGTCTGTGTAGTTTTCTTGGGAACATAAGTCACACTTCTCTGCATGACGTCTGCCCTTTCATGGATGGCCCGTCCTGTGTGTATTGTGTACCTGTGCACAGGTGTGTAGATCACCAGCAGGCCTGTCTTAGACGGGGCTGAGTGCCTTTTAGGTGGGCGTGTCCTCACCTATGTACCTAACCATGAGGGCCATCAGAAAACCTCCTTGCCCCCTTGATAAAGTGCACCCGTTTGCCCCAGCGTGGAAGTGAGGAAAGACTCTGGGCAGGGAGGGGTGAGCCAAGTCTTGTCTAGCAAGTCACCCCTCCCTGGGGACGTTCCCCATTACTCCCACCAGCATGCTGGCCCCCTTCATTGCTCTGGCTCCCACCTGGACATCTGTCCTTACATCAGCTCCCCAGGACACAGCTCGGTGTCCATGCAGCGGACACGCCCCTGGTTGACCGTTCTCACCATCAGCCTGACACGGGAGGGGCTTAGAAGGCATACCTTGCACTGAAAGGAGCACGGGACTTCCTTCTGTTCCTTTCACCGCCCTCATTGCCTCCTTTTGCAAAGTGCCCCTCCCCCAATCCACATGGTTCCTGTGGCCTGTGAATCAATAGGGCCCGCCTGGTTCACGGAAGTGCACGTGACCCAAATGGAGCCAGCCCAGAGCTGCAACCTTGACCAAAATTGTGTGAAATCCTCTGGGGTCCCAGATGGACGTGTGCACCAGATCACAGCAGCAGCTACCAGCCCGGCAGCTCGCAGAGCCCTGGGCTCCGGCCTGCCCTCCCACACCCTTCCCAGGCCAAGTCCTCGCGAGGTCCTCCCCAGCCTCCCAGAACCCCCCCAGTGAAAGGCTTCCTGGACAGGGCAGGACCCTCGGGTGTAGGAGAAAAACCCAGCTCAAACTTTAATAGTTTACGCCAAAGGAAAGTGTGTGGTTTGAGTCTAGGAAGTCCAAGACGGCCGCTCCATGCATGTGTCCTGGTAGGCGCAGTGGCCCAGGACCCTGTCGGGTCCCCTCCTCGGTGCCAGCACTTTTCTCGGGCTGTCTGCCTGTGGCACCGAGGACGGCAGCAGCCACTGAGGCTCCGTGGCATCCACCGAGCTCGGGAGCGCTGACACGCATATCGGTCCCCTGAGAGAATCTTCACTGGCTCATTTGGGTCATGCTCCTCCTGTCATCGTGTCACCAGAGGGAGGCCCCTGGTGGTGGGCAGCTCTCGGGGCCACATGCGTCCCAAGAAGGATGTTTCTCAAAAAGAAGCAACAAGGGAAAGGGCAACATGACAGAGGAGTCCCTTCTGTCCCACCAGTCCCAGGCCCACCTTCCAAGCCCTGCTCCTGTGCCAGGGTATAGGCTGCCCATGGCTTCTGGGGGCCAGCTGACTCAGCAGTCCCCTCTGACCCACACTGAGCCCCTGGGCTCTTTCCTAGGAAGAGGCCCACCTGGCCCCAGGGCTGGCCGGGGCCTGAGGTTGCTCACAGCTCCTCTCCTTTCTTCCCAGGGCTTCTGTTCCTGGTTCTTCAACAGCATCACCATGAAGTAAGTGGGCCTCGGGGCACGGGGAGGAGGGGTGTGGAGTCCTGCAGGAATTCGCAGCCCCCAGCCTGGCATGACGGGGCCTGTGCGTTGTACCCCAGCGCCCGCACTCCGCCGCTTTGGCCTAGGGGGAGCAGAGGCCCCTTTCCCAGTCACAGCCAGTGAGATGGGGACTGGGCACTGCCGCTGCCCATTTCAGCTCCACCACCGCCCTCAGGGAAGGGCCACCTTTAATAGCTGAGTCCTTACTCCCGTGCTTCTACAAGTGTGCCCATGAGGGCCAGCCCGTGGTAGTTAAGGTGGCTGGATCCCATGTGGCCTACTGAGCGGTTCGAATCCTGCACCCAGTGGCTTAAGGAACATGCCAGGTGCATGTGCATGTGTGCCCAAAACCCTGAAAGGAGGGAGAGATGAAGGAGAAGGGATTGCGGCATGACCATGCCCCATGGGGTACTTTCTCCTTTCCCTCCCTCCCTGTCTGTCTCTGTTTCTCTCTAACAAGTATATATATATATATTTTTTTTTTTAAAGGTAAAAGAATGTGTTTATGGGTGGCGGGATTCAGGGAGTGCCCAAAGGCATGTCAGGCTCTGAGGCCGAGGCAGAGCTGTGCGCACACGTGCACGTGGGTGTGCATGTGTGTATGTGTGTACACGTGTGCCTGCCCACAGTGGGGGACAGAGCTCTACATGTCTACTCAGCTGAAGCGTCTGGCTGGTGTTGGGAAATGAGGACGAGTGACTTGGGGTCTGGCGGAGAGGGAGTCGCGCTTCGGCACGATGACGAACACAGATGAATTCACAGAACGCTAATGACCAGTATGCAGGAGGGATTTCTTTCTCCTGGTGGGGACTGCAGACCCCTCCTCCACAGTCCTGCCTTGCCTGGTCACCATGCTCCTGAGGGGCGACCTGCGCCAGGGGCCCCGTGGCCGCCGTTGGCTTCTGTGCAAGGACATCTTCCTTCCCGTGGCCCACGCACCCCCTGCAGGGCTTAGCTGCAGCCTCCTGGGCACCTCTCTTTCTCCAGACCTGCCGCAGGTGTGGAATCCGGAGGATGCACATGTCTGAGCTCCCTGGCTGGGCCTTGGGAATCCCAAACTGGGCCCGGCCCAGTGGCCTCTGGTGTTTGGTCCCCAGCCCTGACGGTGACTCCCTGTGGCCTCGGCCTCCTGTCTTCCTTCCTTTAGCAGAGTCCCCCGAAGATGACGTGACTGCTCTGTGCAAGGTTCTGGATTCACTCGTCTTAGCCTTGTGGGGGGAGAACAGGGGAGGCTTTGTTTGTTTGTTTGTTTGTTTTCTTGGCACCTTCTCTAGTTTTGCTTCATTGACTTTTTTTTTTTGGAGAGGTTTTCGCTATAGGGCGCGTGCGCTTGCCAGACAGACAGAGAGAGACATAGAGACAGAAAGCGAGAAATCACCCCCCAGGGGGGATGGTCATGCCCCAATCCCTTCTCCTCCATTCTCCTCTCAGGATCTTGGGCACGCACGCACACGCGCCCAGCGTGAGTTTTAAGCCACCGGGTCCGGGATGCGAACCGCGGTCGACTACGTGGGAGTCCAGCGACATAGCCATTACGCCAACTGCTGGTTCCCTTCATTGATTTTTTTTTTCAACACTCGCAAACCACCACAGATACATTTTCATTAAGAGAAACATGGAAACCCATCTCCAGTCTCACGCCCTTCTCCACTGCGCCCCTCCATAGAAGCAGTTCCTGTCAACAGCTTCAAGGGAATTTTTTTTTCCTTTTTTTTTTTCCTAAAAGAAAGATTTTTGCTCTAGGGAATGTGTGCTTGCCAGAGAAACAAAGAGAGACAGATAGAAAATGAGAAATCACCCCCCAGGGGATGGCCACTCCGCAATTCCTTTTCTTCCATTCTCCTCTTGGGATTTGGGTACACATGTGCATGTACCCAGCATGAGTTTTAAGTTACCAGGTCCAGGACTCGAACTGTGGTCAATTACATGGGAGTCCAGTGACATAAGCATTACACCATCTTTTTAAAGTATGCAGTACTTATGTCATTCTTTAAAGTTCCCTGGGCCAGGCTGGCCCTTTGCTCTCTCTGCCCAGTTGGAGGATTGGAGGTTTTCTGGGACCCCCACCACCCCGCCGCCAGGCATCCTGGCATCCTGAACCTGCAGCAAAACCCTTCCCTGTTCCCTGACACTCAGCCTTTTCCTCAGTTTCCACTTGCCCCATTCTTGGGGCTTAAATTCAGGGCAGGATGTGTGTTCACAGCTTGAAGTTAAAATTTTGAGCACTTTAAGTAATTCCCTAAGTGGGGATATTGAACACCTTTAAGATGGCCTTGTTGTAGTACTGTTTAAAAATAAATCTAAATGGGGCCAGCAGGGGGCATGGTGGTTAAGGCAGTTAGACTCCCACATGGCTAACCACAGTTCGAATCCCAGACTTGGCAACTTGCTTTCTCACTTTCCTTTCTATCCTAATCTCTCTCTAGTCAGCTTCAAAAAAATAATTATAAAATTACTTTAAAAATAAAATAATGACAATGAATAAAATTTCAAAATTTAATTTAATTTAAAAATACGAATCTGAAGAAGTAATAAAAAGGTGAGCCAAATCCCACATGGCCAACCACAGTCCAAACCCTGGCCCTGGCAACCTAAAAGGCATGCCGAGCACATGTGCATGCGCGCTCCAAATCCTGGTGTGAGGGCGAAGTGCAGACAAGGGATTGCAGCTTCACCACGCCCCACTGGGGAGTGCTCTCTCTCTTTCTCTCTCTCTCTCTCGCAAGTACATATACTTTCTGGCAATTAAAAAAAGGTGTGGCCAGCAGATGGTATAGTGGTTACATCTGGACTCCCACACGGTCAACTGTGGTTCGAGTCCTGGACCCAGTAGCTTGAAAATCACACTGGGCATGTGTATGTGCATACCCAAGATCCCAGGAGGAGAATGGAGAAAAGGGGATTGTGGCATGGCCATCCTGCCCGAGGGGTGATTTCTCACCTTCCCTTTCACTGTTTCTGTCTGTCTCTCCAGCAATAGCACACACCCTATGGCAAAAAAAAAAAAAAAAAAAAAAAAAAAACCCTCTTGAAAAGAAAAGGAAATCCTTCATTTAAAAAGTGCTTCCAGGTTCCTAGGTGTTCATCTGTTTATCCATAGTCTCTATCTTGGCGTGTCTGTAAGTTCGGTGAGATACACTGTAGACATACCGGAAGCTTTGAGGAGACAGGTGCTGTTTCCAAAACAAGAAAAGTGCGGGGGCAGGGTGGTAATCCCTCCCTTCCTCTACCTCCTCGCAGCCTCACTGCGGCCACACTGGCTCCTCAGGAATGTCCTCTTCCTGTGTCTTCCAGGGATGACGATCTCATTAGCAAGTGTGGAGACGACGCCCGCATCTACATCATGTTCCAGTACCACCTCATCATCTTCGTCTTCATCCTCTGCATCCCCTCCCTGGGCATCATTTTGCCCATCAACTACACTGGAACGGTTTTGGGTAGGCGGAGCTCCCCGTGCCCTGGGCCCAGAGCCACTAGACCTAAGCGGCCACCTGGTGGGCTGGACAGGGGGTGGGCCTTGGGGGTCTGGAAATCCGGATTTTTTTTTTTAAGAATGATTATATTTAATGTTATTTATTTTAATTTGACCAGGGAGGGCCAGAGAAAGTGAGAGAAAGAGAGAGCAGGAAAGCAAGAACACAAGCCTCCAGGTCCAGGACTCGAACCGCATTTTGGCCACATGGGAGTCCAGCACCCTTAGCCACCATGCCACCTGCCGGCCCCAGGAGATCTGGATTTTAATCCTGCCTCTGGAAGTTAGTTCTCATGTGACCTCAGGCAAGCTGTGCTCAGCTCTGTCTGTGGGGACTGGAGCTGATGCACTCTATCACCGGTGTGCCCCAGGGCTGGGCACGTAGCATTAATCCTGTCTGGAACTTCATGTTTGCTCCCATCTCCATGGTGCACCTGGCCAGGACTTTCCGGAGACCCTTTTATGCCAAGTGACCTCGATTCCTCCCTTACCCTCTCGGGGGGACACAGTACCACGAGGGCAGGATAGGGCTCGCAAGACTTCTGCCACAGTCACCGTCACGGGGCCAGTGTTCCTAACAAAATAGCATCGGGGAGGGTGTGGCTCTGAGGACAGACAGACCTTGGCCCCACAGGTTTTACCTCGTCCGTTCCCCAGAAAACACTTCCCCCACGCAACAAATGATTGACCTTACTTGACCAATGAATCCCCTCTGGCCTTGGCTTCGCCAACCACCCTGAGGACCGGGACATACAAGTACCTCACACAGTGCCCGATAGGTGGAAGGCGCTTGGCAAACAACAGCCAGTATCTGTCTTAGACTTACCCAGATGGGCAGGGTACCCGGGTGCTGTGGAACGGCACCTCCGGTATCCAGGTGGCACCCATCTTTACTTTCATTCTTTAGGTTTTTGTCTGTTTCTCCTCAACCACAGGTAGACCTTAATTATTAATAATTCGGTGTGACTTACTGAAGGCCCACACCCCCCAAATTCCACTGTCAGAGTAACTAGCTTCTGGGTCCTATCTTGTGAGTCTGGCCCTCAGAGCTAGAGCATTAATAGAGATAATATATGAGGCCAGCAGATGGCATAGCAGTTACGTCATTGGACTCCCACATAGCCAACCACAGATCGAGTCCCACACCTGGTGGCTTGAAAATCACACCAGGCACATGTACATGTGTGCCCAAGATGCTGGGAGGAGAATGGATGAGATGAGATTATGACATCACCGTCCCCCTGGGGGGTGATTTCTCACTTTCCCTCTCACTGTCTCTGTCTCTCTCGCTCTCTGGCAAACACACACACCCTAAGGCAAAAACCTCTAAAAAAAAAAAAAAGTGATAATGTAATACAAGATTTTTAGACACATTTTGCCAAAGCTAGAGATGTCTGAATCAACAAACTAGTATGCTTAGCCAGAAAGATTTATTCTGTTCAAACAAGGCAGTGTCACGTGCTCTGGAGTTTGAGTTCTTGTGACTGTCACCAGTGCACGGTGTTGCTCACTTCATCGTTCTGCGCATGACCAGCCAGCCAGTCCCTTCAACAAGCATTTACTGATGTTCTTCCGTCCCAGCGGTGCCCGGGGAAACCAGGTGAAGGCTTGGCCTTGCTTTTTGCCGAGAGCCCCGATCAGCAAGACCAGGGAGGAGAGCCCTCTGTTGGTTTTGTTGGGGACAAGCTCTGGGGAATCAGAAGGCAGAGCAGGACATAGGCAAGCATGTCTAGACCCCAGGAAGTCATTCAGGAACCTTGGATTCTGGCCCTACAGCTACCAAGGAGCCCAGCAACTCCCTTCTCTTTCAGACCGCAAGAGTCACTTTGGTCGGACCACCATTGTCAATGTCTCCACAGAGTAGGTACCTGATCTTCTTACCTCCTGTTCTACTGCAAGGGAAAAAAAAAAAAAAAAAAAAAAAAAAAACAAAAAACCCTCTTGAAAAGAAAAGGAAATCCTTCATTTAAAAAGTGCTTCCAGGTTCCTAGGTGTTCATCTGTTTATCCATAGTCTCTATCTTGGCGTGTCTGTAAGTTCGGTGAGATACACTGTAGACATACCGGAAGCTTTGAGGAGACAGGTGCTGTTTCCAAAACAAGAAAAGTGCGGGGGCAGGGTGGTAATCCCTCCCTTCCTCTACCTCCTCGCAGCCTCACTGCGGCCACACTGGCTCCTCAGGAATGTCCTCTTCCTGTGTCTTCCAGGGATGACGATCTCATTAGCAAGTGTGGAGACGACGCCCGCATCTACATCATGTTCCAGTACCACCTCATCATCTTCGTCTTCATCCTCTGCATCCCCTCCCTGGGCATCATTTTGCCCATCAACTACACTGGAACGGTTTTGGGTAGGCGGAGCTCCCCGTGCCCTGGGCCCAGAGCCACTAGACCTAAGCGGCCACCTGGTGGGCTGGACAGGGGGTGGGCCTTGGGGGTCTGGAAATCCGGATTTTTTTTTTTAAGAATGATTATATTTAATGTTATTTATTTTAATTTGACCAGGGAGGGCCAGAGAAAGTGAGAGAAAGAGAGAGCAGGAAAGCAAGAACACAAGCCTCCAGGTCCAGGACTCGAACCGCATTTTGGCCACATGGGAGTCCAGCACCCTTAGCCACCATGCCACCTGCCGGCCCCAGGAGATCTGGATTTTAATCCTGCCTCTGGAAGTTAGTTCTCATGTGACCTCAGGCAAGCTGTGCTCAGCTCTGTCTGTGGGGACTGGAGCTGATGCACTCTATCACCGGTGTGCCCCAGGGCTGGGCACGTAGCATTAATCCTGTCTGGAACTTCATGTTTGCTCCCATCTCCATGGTGCACCTGGCCAGGACTTTCCGGAGACCCTTTTATGCCAAGTGACCTCGATTCCTCCCTTACCCTCTCGGGGGGACACAGTACCACGAGGGCAGGATAGGGCTCGCAAGACTTCTGCCACAGTCACCGTCACGGGGCCAGTGTTCCTAACAAAATAGCATCGGGGAGGGTGTGGCTCTGAGGACAGACAGACCTTGGCCCCACAGGTTTTACCTCGTCCGTTCCCCAGAAAACACTTCCCCCACGCAACAAATGATTGACCTTACTTGACCAATGAATCCCCTCTGGCCTTGGCTTCGCCAACCACCCTGAGGACCGGGACATACAAGTACCTCACACAGTGCCCGATAGGTGGAAGGCGCTTGGCAAACAACAGCCAGTATCTGTCTTAGACTTACCCAGATGGGCAGGGTACCCGGGTGCTGTGGAACGGCACCTCCGGTATCCAGGTGGCACCCATCTTTACTTTCATTCTTTAGGTTTTTGTCTGTTTCTCCTCAACCACAGGTAGACCTTAATTATTAATAATTCGGTGTGACTTACTGAAGGCCCACACCCCCCAAATTCCACTGTCAGAGTAACTAGCTTCTGGGTCCTATCTTGTGAGTCTGGCCCTCAGAGCTAGAGCATTAATAGAGATAATATATGAGGCCAGCAGATGGCATAGCAGTTACGTCATTGGACTCCCACATAGCCAACCACAGATCGAGTCCCACACCTGGTGGCTTGAAAATCACACCAGGCACATGTACATGTGTGCCCAAGATGCTGGGAGGAGAATGGATGAGATGAGATTATGACATCACCGTCCCCCTGGGGGGTGATTTCTCACTTTCCCTCTCACTGTCTCTGTCTCTCTCGCTCTCTGGCAAACACACACACCCTAAGGCAAAAACCTCTAAAAAAAAAAAAAAGTGATAATGTAATACAAGATTTTTAGACACATTTTGCCAAAGCTAGAGATGTCTGAATCAACAAACTAGTATGCTTAGCCAGAAAGATTTATTCTGTTCAAACAAGGCAGTGTCACGTGCTCTGGAGTTTGAGTTCTTGTGACTGTCACCAGTGCACGGTGTTGCTCACTTCATCGTTCTGCGCATGACCAGCCAGCCAGTCCCTTCAACAAGCATTTACTGATGTTCTTCCGTCCCAGCGGTGCCCGGGGAAACCAGGTGAAGGCTTGGCCTTGCTTTTTGCCGAGAGCCCCGATCAGCAAGACCAGGGAGGAGAGCCCTCTGTTGGTTTTGTTGGGGACAAGCTCTGGGGAATCAGAAGGCAGAGCAGGACATAGGCAAGCATGTCTAGACCCCAGGAAGTCATTCAGGAACCTTGGATTCTGGCCCTACAGCTACCAAGGAGCCCAGCAACTCCCTTCTCTTTCAGACCGCAAGAGTCACTTTGGTCGGACCACCATTGTCAATGTCTCCACAGAGTAGGTACCTGATCTTCTTACCTCCTGTTCTACTGGCCGGGGGTGTTGGTGGGGAGAGGAGAGCCAACATGTCAGGTAACAGGCACCACTCCGCCGTCGAGAAAGGCCCGGCCTCCCTGGGAAGCCAGGTCCCAAGTGGGATGTAGGCCTCACAAGCTCTCGGTGGGGCAGGACTCTAGGTGCCTGTCTTCTGATCTGTCATGAACAGAAGCACCTAAATGGACCCTCTTAGAGATATGGAGAAACGGTCCCTCTGCTTAGTACATCTAGCTCGTGAGAGGCAGAGACCCTGGGCCAAGGAGAGGTTTTAGATGCTGCGTCCCTGCCCACCGATAGGTTCAGTCATCCCTCAGATAATTGAGTCACGGACCTGGCAGTCCGCTCCACTCCGATTCCCATAGCAAGGAGCCAAGGAATCAGATGACTGGGGTTCATGCCCCACCTCTGCCATTAACTGGCCCTAAATCTGGGTGACCTGCCCTCCCCTAAGCTTTAGTCCTCATCCAGGGTGGGGAAGGGGTTTGGGACATGATCTCTAAGCCCCTACCCTCTCCAGTTCAGGAACCTGTGGGTTTCAGCATGAGCTGACCTCATCAGTGGCCAAATCAGCTTGTACTGAGCCAAGTGGCCTGGCTGGGCCATGCTGAAGCCCACTAGGTGTCTTGGCCAGCCAAGGCCCACTTCCCGACAGCAGCAGAAGCAGTTTCAGCACGAGCGAGCAAACTGCACACACTCCTGCCTCTGTTCTCGCCGCACCGCTGCCCCTCTGCCTCCTGCACTCCTGTGATACACCCCGGGGCAGGGGGCATAACCACAGTGCTACAGTCTGCAGAAAGGGGCCATGGCATCCTGTCACCTTTCAGCCAGCCCCTTCTCCAGGAGCTTTTCCCTGGGTGGGCCAGCCATGTTCCCAGCAGGAAGTGGATGCTGGTAGAGCAGCCAAGGGCCTTCAATGTCCAAGAATCCGTATGGGCAGAGAGCTGGAATATTCCATAGAGACCGTGTCGTGTAACCTGGCCCCTCTGCAAACACTGAGGTCGGCAGCATCTAGCCAGAAGGAGGGTGGTCTGGGCACTGTAAGCGCTGGGGCAGGAACAGAGATCAGAGATGCTTTGGAGCAGGTGGCTTTTCTTTCCTTGAACCACACCAAAGAAGGTGGGCCCTGGACACCTCTGGACAGTAGTCCTGGCCAGGTGCCTGGGGACAGCGTCACAGGAGGCAAAAGCAAGGATGGCCAACATGGCCTGCGTGCCA